AGGTTAGGTGTGTGTGTGTGTATGTGTGTGTGTGTGTGTATGCATGTGCGCGTGTGTGTAACCTCTAGTAAAGTTGACAAAACATTTTGAGATCTAGCATTCCTCATTCATCCTGCATTTCTTGAAAGCCTACTATATATGCTAAAAACTCAAAGTTGAATATTAAATGATAAACTACTCAGAATTAGAAAAATATGCAAACAGAAATACTGTAATAATAAAGACCTCCAGAAAGAGGGCTTAGCTAAATTTGGACATGAATGGTGAGGGCCACTTAGCCAGCTAGAAAGGAGAAGTTCACAGGAGGAAGAAAGAGCAGTGCTCACAAGAGCAGGGCCAGCTCCCCTCAGAGAAGCATGTGTTTCAGGGAAAGCTATTTAAAATGCTCCTCTATTTACAGGAGACAGGGGATGCTTAGCTTTGATAGCAAGAATGAGTACTAAGGTGACAAATTGAGTTTGAGGTAGACTAGGAGAAAGAGGTAGTGCTGAGAAGCGAATTTTTCTCAAGGTTTAGCTGAAGCCCGTTTGCCTTAATAGAAAAGTTCACTCTTCTGCAAAGTAAACTTTTTTCCCTCATTACCCTAAGACTTGACTTTCTGTTAAGCACACAGTCTGACTTACCTGGACTTGAGTCCCATGGTGACCAAAATCCCTTTTCCCTTAAAGGGGCAAAGGACCATTTCATTTTGGCAACTGCAAGTGTTCCTTCCCAGAGGAAATATCTGCTAACTTGCAAATTCCTGTAGCACTTACTATCTGAACCATGTGCCACTGCATCATATCTCAACTGTTATCTTAACTTTTTAATGTGTTTACACGATGTTCTACCAAATAACGTTTGGTTCCATAACACCAGGCATCTTTTTCCATTTCTTATACCTACAGGTTTTGTGTATTACTGGTCACAAAGTATTAAAAAAAAAAAGGGGGGGGGGAGAGCCAAGAATAAACTTAAAACATTAGACAATAATAAAAATAAATAATTAAATTAACCTTTTGTTACATTAATAGTTTTTAAAACTATTTTGAACATATGGATGGAAACAGAAGTCATCCTTCATCCTTACAACATATCTTAGTATGTGAGGTTGGAAGTATCTAAAAGTACTGGTAATCAAAACAGAGTGGCCCACTGTACCCTGGGCAGACACTGCTTCCTTACAGACCACGCACTTTTGTCATAGCTACTTCTAACTCTTCCCTCTCTAAACATAAAGGCAATAAAACGGGAAGTTTTCATTTTACATGCTGTATGGTGAAGATCATTCATTCTGTGTGACAGTTAGCATGTCAGTCTGCTTGCTTTTGACCCCATCTATAAAGTGGGATTGTATGTTTTACAGAAATTCTATACATCTTACAGGATCACACAATCAGTCAGAGAGACTAGTTGTTGAATATCTGAAGGCTAAGAATCCAGTTTGACGCGTGACTCTTTCCCTCTACTCTTTTAAGGAGAAAGAAACTGGAGCTCTCAAGGGAAATAAAAGGTAATGAATGGTTCCATTCCCCATTAGCCAGAGATGTGCCCTCTCTGTGCCTCTTCAAAACAAGGCGCTCTGCAAGTATGGGTTTTTCTTCTCTGTCAATCAGCCTGAGAGGAAAAGGCAGATTATTCTGCTTCTACTCCACTATTCAAAAGGTGTATTTATCAGACTAGAAGGTTTATTAAAGACTTTCAATAGGTAAATATCAATCTGGCTGAAACAATTTTAATAACATTAATATGCCACAGCTAATGAAATCTTGCTGGCAGAATGTCCTCAGAAGATAGAATTATTTACACTATTGTGTAATAGGAACAGCTGTTTGCCTCTCGCCAATTCAGACTTGCAGTCTTCTTATTGAAATACTAACAAATCTTAGACAAATGTTTGCTGTTCAAGGCTCAAAGTTGCTCTGAGAACAGGTGAGAGAGAGAGAGAGAGAGAGAGAGAGAGAGAGAGAGAGAGAGAGAGAGAGAGAGAGAGAGAGGGAGAGGAACAGAGGGGGGAAGAGAGAGAGGGGGAAAGAGAGAGGGGGGGAAAGAGAGAGAGAAGAGGGGAAGAGGGGGGGGAGAGAGAGTGAGTGCTACAACTGTAAATAGAACTTCAATCTAGGTGCAATTTGTGTACTATTCACTAGGCCTGCACATGGGCATCTGTAAATGCAGAGTTCCAATATTTACTAATAATTTGAAGATCTTTCACAGCTTGGGATCTTCATGAAACAAGTTTTCCTCTGCCTTCTCAGATGTAACCCAAGCACATTTCATCAGCACAGCTTCATTTTAAGTCATTCTGCCAGAAAACAAAAAAGACATCGTCTGTCCATGACTTGTTGAACAGTTTATCTACCTAAATGACTTTGAGAGATGTGGAAAATGGTGGAGAGAGGGGAGCAGTGGGGATCATGCTCTCGTTTGTCCTCAGAGAGGACCTGAATGTGGGAAGCATGTGGAGCAAGGGGACATCGCAGGCTGCTGGTGGCAGAGCGGAATGAACTGCTGCTGCCATTCCATATTGGTCAAAGCATTTACTCCCAAGTACATATTTGAGAAACACCAAGAGTTAGGTACAAGATTGTATAGTTTGTGTTGAGGAAAAATCCCCAGAAAAATCCAGTTTGACGAGTGATTAATAAGCAGAATAATTAATCAATATGTTGTGGTGTACACATAAAATGAAATATAAGACAGCAGTTAAAATGAAAGAATTCAGAATCTACGTACCCAAATGTATAAATTTCAAAAACATAATGTTGAGTAAATTGTAAGTTGGGAAATGAAATATGCCATTTATATATTGGTTAAAGGCAATCAAAACAATACTATAAATTTCCTAGGAATGTAAATATGTATGGTAAAGGTATAAAAATATGATCGATAGGAATTTTTTTTAAAAAAGCTTACTTCCAGTTGTGATGAGAGATGAGTAGGTTCAGACAAGAATTCAAATTACATTTGCTATATATATATATATATATATATATATATATATATTAAAAGATCTAAGTGTTAAAGAACATATAAAGCAAGATAACGTTCACTTTTTTTTCTTCTAGTCTCTCTAATAGACTCATATACTTGTTTTTAATCCTGGGGTCCTCAAAGGTGGGGGTGGAATGGGGGTAGGGTAGCAGCCCCTGGGGCCCTCAGCAGAAGAAAGCCCTAGAGCTAGTCTTAACCCCGCTCCTCCCCCTCCATCCTCCAGCCCTGCCAGCAGGGCAGTCCTGCACCTCAGCTTCCCAGTCTGATGACACCCCCAGGCAGGGGCTGTCTCCGCAGCAGCCTGGTCCTGGGAAGCCTGGTCCTGGGAACCCTGGTCCTGGGAACCCTGGTCCTGGTCCTGGTCCTGGGAACCCTGGTCCTGGGAAGCCTGGTCCTGGGAACCCTTAGTTCAGGACTCTGCAACTGACAGAACTGCGCGCCCTTCGAGTTAGAGGTAGGAGAGCCATTCCTTACCCCGCCGGAGGACCCTCGGATCTTTCTCTAATAAAACAATCCAACTGCCTTCCAGCTATCCCAGAGATGTGAGCCAGCTGTAACCCACCAGGGCTGACCTCGCCGCAGAGCCTGCGGCCGCCGCCTGGGGCCCGCGCCTTCCAGGGAGGGATCTCCCTGACTGGATCCCTGCTTCCCGCAGGGAAAGCACCGCGGCCCTCACCCTGTTAGCTTGACTGCTGACAGCTCCCAATAACAGCAAAAGGAGTTGATTTATGATGAGGCAGGAGAGTCACAGCTGTAAACTGGAAGCCAGAGACGGAGCCCCCCGGGCCCGGGAAGAAACAGAAACTGTGTTCCCTTCCCGAACTTGCCCGCTCCGGCGGCCCGAGGTGTGCGATCTTAGGAGCAGTCAGGACCCAGCCGGCTCTCACCCAACAGACCCGAGTCCCGCCTCCGGGCGCCAGAACCGGGCTCCGGACCCAGAGCCGGCCGCACCGCACCCGCCGCCCGGACCCAGAGCCGGCCGCACCGCACCCGCCGCCCGTTCTCGCTAATGAGTTGTTTCCAATGCCTTTCCACACCCCTTCAGCACCTTCTTCCAGAACCTGGTTCATCTCCGCACCGGGGTCAGACCCACACTTGGGGAACGGGGAGACAGGTACCCTTCCTCTTCCCCAGCCCTTCCCGTCCTCTGCCGCCCCGCCGCCCGCGGAGGGCCCTGGGCGAGGTCCTCCCGCCCCCGCCCCCGCCACGCCCGGCCCTGAGCGCCCACAGCACCCCTCATCCCCCGGCGCCCCATCCCTGAGAGCCCCCATCCCCCCCTCCCTCCGCCCCCTAGCCCTGAGCGCCCCGCAGCACCCCTCATCCCCCGGCGCCCCAACCCTGAGCGCCCGCAGCACCCCTCATCCCCCCGGCGCCCCCGGCCCTGAGCGCCCCCAACCCCCCCTCCCTCCGCCCCCGGCCCTGAGCGCCCACAGCACCCCTCAACCCCCAGCGCCCCCATCCTCCGCCCCCCCCGCGGCCCTGAGCGCCCCGCGGCACCCCTCATCCCCCCGGCGCCCCAGCCCTGAACGCCCCCATCCCCCCCTCCCTCCGCCCCCGGCCCTGAGCGCCCCGCAGCACCCCTCATTCCCCGGCGCCCCCGGCGCCCCCGGCCCTGAGCGCCCCCATCACCCCCTCCCTCCGCCCCCGGCCCTGAGCGCCCGCAGCGTCTCCATCCCCCGCGGCCCCCGCGCCCGCCGCCGGCGAGGCGCGGGGAGGGGAGGCGGCCGGGCGGGGCGGGGCGGGGGCGGCGCCGGCCGCCGGCCGCCTATAAGGGGCGATCGCCCGGCGCGGGGCTGATTGCAGCTCCGCATCCACCGCGCGGCGCCGGTGCAGCGGCTCTGGCTGCGCAGCTCCGGAGCGGAGGCGGCAGCGGCAGCGGCAGCCGCGGGCACTGAGCGCGGCCTCGGCTCGGAACCGGCTCCGGGCGGGATGGACTGAGCCGGCGCCTCCGCCGCGCGGGTGGGCAGGGTCCCGGTGCGGAGAGCGCACAGAATTCGGGTTTGGCTGGAGGAGAGCGCTGGGTCGGGGCCATGGCTTCGGAACCGCTGCTGCTGAGCGTGTTCACTTTGCTGTTCGCCGGTTCCTGGCGCCCGGGATTGACGGCGACGAACTGTAAGTGAGCCCGGGGCCCGGAGCCCGGAGGCGGGCGCAGGGACGGGGAGCTGCCTTGGGAAGCCGGTGTCCAATGTGTCCGCTCCGAGCAGAGGGGGGATGCTGATCGGTGTGGCTCCAGACTCCCCTGCCCAAAAGTTCGCGGTGCTGGAACGATGGGCCCCTGGATTGTCTGGCCTCGCCCCGCAGCGAAGTTCAGGGAGAAGGAGGGGTCCGTGCCCTCTGCCCGCTCCTCTCCAGCCCGGTGCCCGCCTCCGGCGCTGAGCCGGGAAGGCCGGGGCCGGGCGTCTGCGCCACTGGGCTGAGCGTGGAGAGTCTCCCGCCTCAGAGCCCGGGGGCTTCGGCTCGCCTGCGAATGCGGCTGCCCGCGGTTTGCAGGGAGCCCGGTGCCTCCAAGACCGGCTTTCAGCTCCGCGAGGGGAAGGCGCGGGCTGGGGTGTCTGGCCACCAATGGACAGCGGTTAGGAGGACAGGAGTTTGGCCTCAGAGTCACGGCCCAGTGTAGTCAGACCACAGGATCAATGCTGTCCACGTCTCAGGAGGAGGCCCTGGGATGCACACCCCACCCCAAATCTCTGTGCCAAAGGATGCATAGGTAGTGTGCCGTAATGCTCACTCTGTTCTTCAAGCTCTAACCCTGAGAGCTCAGAGCTTTTAATTTAATAGGCAGGCGGGCTGGACACCTGGGGATCCGCCACCTGCACCGGGTATTTAAAGAATCCAGTGTGTCCAAGTTGAATACATCTCTGGAACCATCAGAGATCTAAGCTCCATTGCTCAGCTGCCTCTCTAGGCAGAGAAGGGGAAGTTTCCAGCTCCGAAAACTCCTAAACGAGAAAGAATGCAATTAAGCCATCTGCGTTTTTCCAAAGATGGTTTACCAAGGTCCTGTTCTTCAATTTTCTGGGCTTGCTCCTCTGCCTGCTAACCCCACTGGTACCTCAGACACATCTACTCATATGCGTTCTAATACGGTTGCTTGAAATCAGAACCATTTCTGAAAGTAAGACAGCTCCATACCATCTTTATTCCCACCTTCTTAGGTTTGAGAACGCCCTGAGTAAGACACTCAAGGGAAGATAATTCGACAATGATTATTTACTGAAAACTGTCCAAAGCAGAGCCAGTGTTTCTATCTGTGATTGGAAATTGTAGACGTGCAGAATCTATAGTTAGTGGTAATGCCTTCTGAAGGCTTTATTAAAGTTTGAATTCTAAAGCAGTACTGAAGAGGCAAACCTCTCTAAAGGGAGGTCCTAAAGGCCTTAGATTAGAAATTGTTTCAGAAAACAGGTAAGGACAGGTTATAATCTAATATTTATTCTCCTCCTCCTCCTCCTACTCTTCCTCCTCCTCCTCCTTCTCTTCCTCCTCTTCCTCCTCCTCCTCCTCCACCTATCCCCTGGTTCTCTTCCTTTTCTTCTTTTAAGTGAAATTGTTCCCATGATGCTTTAGACAAACATCTAAACCCTTTAGTAAGAGGAAGTTAGGCTTGGTGCTGAGCTATGGCTCTACCTCCTGGAACACTAGAGGTCAGTATTGGCCCGACAATGCAAAGGTGCAGCGAGGAATCCGTTTTCCTTGGGCACATTTACCTCTGAAAATAGTGAATATTCTAAAAGACACACAAAGATGGAGTGAGCAGTGGTGAAACAGGCAGAACATAGTCTATAGGAATATGGTTTGGGCTTTATTACATAGTCCATCTTCTTAAGAGGAAAGGAAAATATAAATCATTGAATGGCATTTTTTTGTAAATTAATTGAATTATGGTTAATATGTTATATTCATGATTATAAAAGTATTATGGTATTAATTTAAGGCTCATGCTTATCATTACTAATGCAGCAACAAAGCATATTTTAAAATTTAAAAATAAAACTTTGTGATAATGAGCTTTAATATTTCATCATTGACAGTTTAATTTCCTTATTTCCAACCAACATTTCAATTGAATGCACCCTGCTTGCTAAATATTTTGGGGTCAGTGTTCCTAAAAAGTAATGATGGATGTTTTTGTTATGTTGAACAACATGGATTAAGTGAACAATAATCTAGCAGCAGAAAATTACTTCTGAACTCAGTACTCCATGGTTGGCTTCAGACCTCTGAGGCAAGGCCTCTGAGGAAAGATGGAAGTGAGGACTCCACACTCCTCCTGACATCAATCCTCCTGCTCTTCACCATCATCCCAGGGCCTTGACTTCCCAGCCATCCCACCACTAACACGCACCTGCAGATACTGAGCAGCGGTCCATTTGTACAAGGGTATACATTGATTGGATAAATTCTCTTCTTCAAGTATATTCTTTCAATATTTTGAAATATTTCATGTCATTTATGACAGTAGCCTTGAAAATCGATTAGTTATCCAAAATGCTCCATGGTGTCTGTGTGCCTATGAACTTTGTTCAAGTAAAATCAACCTTTGTTTTCATTCTCTAATAATAATGTGTGTGAGTGTGTGTGTGTGTAATAATCTTGCCAATTTGGGCATTTATCTGCAAGGGGGAAATGCTTGCCCAATTATAAATTTTATACATTTCTAATTAAATAAAGTTTAAATAAAGTTGTGTTAGAAGGCCAGCTACAGTATAGATATTATGAATTTGCGCAGAGAATATAATTATCAACCAGTAATAAAAGACTCTGAAATTCCCCATTCCAGATTTTCAGGATATTAAATAGCTACAATTTATTCTTTGGATTTATCCTGAGGGAATTAGTTAATTTAGATATGAAAGGCCGATGTCAAATGAAAAACCTTTTTACATATAATATCAACTCGCTTGACACATGAAGAAACAATGTAATTTAGTAGTTAATTAAAGGGAAACCAGGATTTTGAAGCACCATGGAGTTCTAGCCCTAGTTATGCCACAGCTAAGATGTCAAATACCCATCAGGTTATGCAACCTTCCTGCACTCACATACTTGGGTATAAAATAGCACTTGAGATGTGTATCTCCCCCCATACAGAACAGCTGCTTATCATTTTACTGAGGATATTCTTCACATATTAGATATGTTGGAAGAACATTATGATGGGAGAACTTGCATTCAGAAGATAAGTGCATGGGATAGCAAGGTCACTATTCACTTACTTTTTTTTTTTTTTAAACAATCAAATGTTATGCGATTATAAAAAACCTCAATTTTTATCAGCAAGTATTCTATCTATTTGTTGTTGCATATTAGGTTCACAGGGATAATAACCTTGGGAAACACAAAACTCTTTACCCTAGTCCTCTATCATAGAACTTCATCTAAAATATACAAGGGTGCCAATCATATTCACAAAGATCTTCAAATGAAGGGATACACTGTAGCTTCAGTTAATGAATAGTTATGCACAAGCCCAATCAGTAGGTAATATTACAAACAAACAAATATCATGTTGGTTTCTTTTGTCAGGAAAGTGTTTGCAGCATACTTTTTGTGTTATATGGTTAGCAGAAGTGAAGGAAGTAGTGATGCTCATGTAGAAGAGTCCTAAAATTTTCATGGTTGAATGGCCTTAATTTTGACTATGCATTTGAGTTCTCTTCCCTTTCTATTTCCATAGCCCCTATCCCCAAACCAGATTCCTGTTTAGACTATTGGAGATTTTAAAGGACTAGCAACTTTCACACAAGGGAAAGAATTATGAGACAATTTATATCCATTGGAATAAGCTCCCCATCCCCTATTCTCAATCTAATGAATGAATGTTCTCTAAATTGCAAGTTTTCATTTTTCCCTCTTCCCTTTGCCCCCCCCTTTTTATTACATTGCTTTATTTTTCAGTGACTGTTTGTTACAAAACAAAATAATATGATATATTATTTGAAATATTCTTAAAACCTTTAGAATGTGATCAAAGCCCCTTAGCTTATCTTTCAGAAGTCTGCTCAAATATGGCTTTTATACATGAGCTAATTATCCCAGTCATATAAGAAAGTAGGGGGAGGGTCAGTTACCTGAAAGACCAGAATAGTCACTCGCTCTGTAGGGCTTTATATTGACTCTTCAGTGTGCTGGTTGAGAGCCAATAATGACATTTTTAATGCAGAAGGGAGCTGTCTTTATTCATCAGCGCTCTGACACTGTCTGGCTGGTGTCCTTGTGAAGGTTATGGACTTATCCTAATGTTCTCGATGTATTAAATAAAGTAGTTGGATCAAATTATTATTAAGGGCCTATCTCATCATAATGTATTCTTGTCTGCTGATGTTGCCTACTGGTCATTCCATTTGGATACTTCCAGGGTAATTGTACTCAACATTGTTAAGCAATTTTATTATAACAACAGAATAATAGGGTTTTAATTTCTAGTAACTGCTTTGCATTTTGAGTTCTCATTTCATATGCTAAGTTCACATAATTTGGCCAGGCAACACTACTAGGTAGATTTTTATTAAATTCACTTTACAGATGAGCACATTTAAGGTTAATAGAAGTTAATAATTTCTCCAGGACCATAAAGTTAAGCAATGAAAAAAAAAAACACACCAGGATCTGGAACTATATCTACCTATCTCCACTGACCAGTCTTTATAAGGTATTTGATTAATTCCCATGAAGTTAGGATCTGTGTGAGCATCTGTGGAAAGATGCCTTGGGATTCCTAGGATTAGTCTCTGTAGCTCTATCCTTAGCAAAGGGGATGGAGGTCCTATTTCTACGAGAGCCAATTCTTAAGTCATTCTTTAAAGACGCATCCAAAAATTTGCAATCTGTATCTGATGCAAGTAGCCAAGTGTTACAATGATGAGAGATAAGAGGCCTCACATCTGACATGTACCAGATGCTTTATATTTTTATAAATTTCTATAAAAATGTGATAAGGAAATTACATAAATTTGATAAAGACTGTGACCACAAACACACACACACATACACACACACACACACACACACACACACACACACACCAATACCTGAAAGGTACTTTATGGAATGCGCACACTCCACAAACAGCCATGTTGTCTCACATCTCCTCACATCATTTATTTGCATAA